ATAAGAGAGAGAAATGTTCTGGAAACTTCCAAGATAAAGAACACTGAAATGCCAGGCTTCTCAGAAGCCCTCATTACACGTGCCCAGGAACAGGAACTGAAGGAGTCATTTTGCATGGAAATAAATATCAGTTATTTGAGAACACGGAACGTGGAAACTTGCTAATTATAAAAATGCACGGTCACCTGCACTACCTAATACCTGTCCTCAAAGGAGAGGTGGTAGCTAGCGCAGGTAACCGTACACTTCTGGCTCATGTGCCTGAAATATGCTGAGTAGGTGCATCTGCCAACATTGCACCCAGGGCAAGTGTATAAAAGAAAAGTGCAGTCATAACCATTCCTCTCAGATGCATCAATGGAAAGCAGGCTGCAGGATCTGCATAGGCTATGTTATCCCAAACCATGGTTACTAGAAAGTTAATAACTTGTCTTTCTTCTTCAAGTATATGTCAGTGTGGGCCCTACTTAGTTGGCGGCTGGCAAGTACCACTCTCTCCAGATGGTTGAAATAAAGTTTCAGTTTCATTAACTGAATGTGAAACACAGGTGTCTTTAAACATGCTCCAGGGGCAGGGAGCAGGCAATTTAATTAGGGCTACTCTTGTTCAACAAGCTTTAAAATGTCCCTGCCACTATTTTGAAGTGCAGGGATACTGAATACAGAAGACACCAAGACTTCTGGAGCATGCTAATTAGCACACTTCAGCAGACTGGATTAATTAAGTCCTCTCCAACACATTGGAGCAGATGTCCCACACGTCTACAGGCACTCTAGGAGAGCAGTATATCACATTTAACATCTCCCAGATGCTAAAGCACTCCAGGGCAGAGTGCTTAACAAATATTAGCAGGTTACTCCACAAAGAAGCCTTAGATTTTTGGTATCACTACTTTTCAGAAGCTTACTGGGCATGTTGTTTCAGGTAATATGTCAAGACCTACTATGAGTTATTTTGACAGCTTTGGATGAAATAGCCTGGCCCTTGAATTGGCTAGTCACTGCTGGAGACGCAAAACATTCAGAATCTGATGCTATATATTATCAAGAGCTGTGTTTATATCCCATGGCATAGTATGTAACTTTGGGAAGAACACACATAAGTTGTTTTATGTAGAGGTTGGAAACCATTTGGTGAATTAATCGTGTTTCATGTCCGAGCATCTCCATTTTCTTGGTGAAACAAATCACTTAAGAGTTCAGCAATAGATGCTTTAAGCGAGATCACTCTTATGCACTAGTGATGGCCATGAAAGAAACTATTCTGAGCACAAGGCTGTCAATGAAGGATTAGAAGAGCTTCGAAGTAGAAGTGTACTCCATAATACTATTGCCCTAACACTTAAATTCTCATACTGAAATGCCTTGAGCAGTGGGTAAGTACACATGAATCCCCTATAAAACCTAGATAAGAGAAGAAGAGACAATTAAGAGTGGTTTCTATTGGTGCAGGATAGATTGACAATGCTACCAGGTGAACCACAAATGAACTAAAAGGAATGCAAGAATGCGCCAACTCTAAGAAACAGCCAAAAATTTTTAGTACTGGCATCTGTGCCAAATTTAGGTATTATTGGGTAGGCCTTATTGAAAAACTTTTCCATTCAGGAGGCACCTTTTTCCAATAGATTTTTCTCTGCTGTGTATCAAGACTTTCATGGATTTGTGAATGCATGCAATTTGTGGATGTGTGCTTGGAAGAAAATGCTGCCAAAACTCCTTAGGATCCTTCCTGATTGGACTCAACACAAAGTAGGAAGGACTTGGAGGTGGAAATGAAGAGTACCTGGAATGGTCATAGTTTTGATAGCAGAGATGCTGACACTCAGAGGCAGATGCTGACACTCAGAGGCAGAGCAGGGCATTTTTGTGCCTTTGGCAGATGAAGCAGCATCACCTTTTTTTTGTCCCCTCTCCACCCCTAAAGTCAAGGCCTGGGGATATTGCCCTGCCCACCACACCCACACCCCCCCACACACACTTCTTAGTTGTTAGTTCACTGATTTCAATCCTAAATGTCAAGTGAGTGAAGTTGGTGTTTCCAGTCTCGCCGCATACCCTGCCACTGGCTAGGGTTCACTTCTTGGTGCTAAGGCTAAGTATCCTCTCCATATTTCATGCAGGCATGGTCCTATCCTGTACAGTCTTCACCAAAGATACTTTGTTTTCTTCTCAGTCTGCGGTGCCATTAGGTGCTTGGGCAGCTTTTCTCTATACAAGTGCTTCCACTGAACTTATTGGGATAATGCCACAGAATACTCAGAGCTCATACTTTTTGTGAATTTCTCTCACAGCTTTCTGAAGTGGGAAACAGACTTTGGATCTGCCTGTTCTGGGTCAATGTTTATACCACTAATATCATGCCTGTGCCCACAACATAAAAACCTCACATAAAACAAATTTTGCCCATCAGTTCTACATATGTAGCATGGGGTACAAAAGCCAAAGCAAGTTTGCATGTAACAGCAACAGTTATGAAAGCTGCTGAAGAACAAAAACTGGCCTTCCTGTCAGACATGGGCAAGTCCTACTGTGTTCAAGCTACAAGCTCAATGATACTTATCCAAACCCTTTCTTTCCAATAGGTCTGCATGGCTACAACTGCTCTAAACCTAGTAAACCATTTTTTTCAATATAAAGATACATGGCACAACACAAACTAATTGTAGGTAGATATTTCTGTGCTGCAGTTGCTCATATGGTACATGTTATTTATGAAATACTAATTTATGTGACCTTGAGTGTCCTAGGTAAAAAGTCATTTTCCTAGTGAACATGACAAGCTTGGGGGCAAGCAAGCTTCAGGGTGTAGAAGCTCTCATACCCGCAGCCAGATGAGCAGGGGTGTGCACTTGCAGCAGCACAAAGAGTAGTAGCAAAAATTTGTTCCACTACTTTGTGCTACCACACATGGCCCGGCATACGCCCTCTGTTATGGGCTATACCCAGCTCCTCCCAGGCTGGGCTCCATGTGCTGCAGAACCGGGGGGGGGGGGCAGGTTGCTGCCCTGGGTTGCCTGCTCCTCTGTCTCTGCATTTGTCCCAGCACACACTATTTTTGCATGCTTTGCACTGCTATTTTAATTTTGGCCTAATTATCCTGCTAATTAAAGCTGTCAATTGTAACAACATTGTCAGCTTATCTGACAAAAATTTAGACTATAAGGGCACATGTAGAAAGTATTTCAGTCTTCATTATGTAAAAAAATCCAAATATATTTCAACATCCACATTGGCCCTGACTTGTTGCAGTTTAATTTACTTTTAAAACAGCCCTCAAATGTCAGTCTACAGGAATGATTCTTGTGCATACAGATTCCATAAAAGAAGTGGATATCACTTGGCAGTGATTTAAAAAGTTTAAATTTACTTGCCAACTTGTATCCTCTGCCAGTAAGGTTCCCTCCTTGGGGCATGAAGCAGCATGTACTTATATTTCAGGTAATATTTATGTTTCATATTTTGATCAGCTTTTCTCTAGGAGCTGACCATCTGCATCAGGGGTGTCAAACATACAGCTCATGAGCAGATTCAGCCCACAGAGATGTTCCATCTGTCCTGCCACAACATCACAAGTTGGGGAGCAAGGTCAGGGGAAGGACCTGCTGCAGAATCTGGGACCCCTGGACTCCAAAGGACCCCTGGACTCCAAAGGACATGGTCAGCAGCAAGGGGGAAAGCAAGGGCTGCACAGACATAGCTCTCACCCATGGCTGCCATTCCCCAACTCCTGCTGCCACCACACCCATGGATCCAACCCAGGGGTAGTCCCACGGTCCAGATCCAGCCCAAGGTGAACTGGACACCCCTGTTCTACATGACAGAAAAAGCACAAAACATCAGAACAGAGGCACATAAAGCCTGAAGGGCAAGGCACAGAGAAATTAATAGAAAACAGATCATACTCTACCTGAGAAATTAAGAGAATGTTTTGAACCACATGTGCACAGAAGAGATTACATGTTCAGGTAGTACATATTTCCTAGCAAGCATTACTTAGCTTAGTGAAGGTATTAGATAGTCATAGGTATTACATCTTACATAAAGGCGTAGTTGCATCCAAAAGCAAGAGTGCAACGTAAAATTCTGTGCAAAAAAAAATTTTTGTTTTGCATATGCTTGGTAAATTTTAAGTACAGGAAATCTTGTGTGTTCTTCTGATCACTAAGCAGAACTTATTTTAACGCATGGATACAGAAGAAACAAAATGTATTAAAATCTACGGAAATACAATGGAGGAAAAGTAGTTAACCTGTATTCTGTTTATTCTGCTTTTAGCCAACACCAATTTTTAATTTGCTTGCAACATAAAATTGGATCTATTCATGGCCCTGCTTTAAATGGAAAAAAATAGTAAATGTAACAGTCAGCTTAGCTGAGACACTGCTGACTGGTCAGCATAGAAAAAGACAAGCCATGTTTGTACCATCACCTTGCTAGGGCTTACCCATGACTAGCCAACATGAAGCTTAACATGATTTGCTTTTCCCTATATAAAACAGTTGCCTGTGGCCAGCACTGTGTACGATAAATGAATAGTTTTTAAGCTTTATTTAATTTCTAAATGCAGAGAAGCCCCAATAAAGGAAGCATCACAGCACAGATTGTCAGGCCACTTCCCTGGATTCCATCTAGTTTGGTGCAATACAAAATAGGAATTAGTTCCTTTACCTAAACTGGTTCTCTCTTCACTACCATGACTCAATTAAACCTACGTAACAAACCTAACAAAGACTATTACTTCTAAAAATTAAATAATCTATAAAATCTGAACCACTTCATAAGAAGTTCTATTTTTAGAATTGTATACAGTACCTCGTAATATTTTTATCTTCAGATTATTTTTTAAATTTCTTGTAAAAGTCTAAGTTTAGTAGGAAGCACAACAGTACCTACACAAAACATATGACACCCCCCCTTTTTTTGTTTTGCTTTGCTTTTAAACCGATATATCACATCACTGGCCCATTATAGGCCAAACACCAGGGATATATACTTACAGAATTGAAGACTGAGGCTCAGAAAAGCTAACAAGGCTGCCAAAGCCAGCAATAACAGAAAACGGTTTCGGAAAAGCATTATTATTTGTTCTGATTTCTCTTCATGGTTTCATCTCCATATATGAAGCTTTCTGCAAAGCAAACACAGGCAAATGTCTATTTAATTACGTGGAGGCATAAATTAAACTGAAATAATTCCAAGTATCACTTTTAACAGAGACATAAGGTCCTTTCTTGAATGCAATTTTATGCCACTCAAATTCTGACTCAAGGAACAAAACCCCAAGTCTTTTTCCTTGTTACACAAGACTAACCAGCCAACTAAGAACATTCTGCAACACAGCTAATTTCCTGTCTAAATTATTATCCTATTGCGCAGTATCCTGATATTTTGAAAGCTAGTTCTGATGGCATACCTAATCTTTTTTAATGAAGTTCAATCTCTGGCCTACCTGCATATTAAATACAAAAATTAAGCAAATAACTGTTTCAACTGTAAAAATGGAAATATTGTTTAAAAAAAAAGCACCAAAGCAGAATATTTTGACAAGCACCAAAATCTCCCCTTCCAAAAATGAAACTGCAAAAATCCACACAATTTCACAAAAGTGTTCTAAGGTCACAGAATTGCATTTTTCAATGAAGAATAGATCTGTTTAAGTTTTTCCAGATCACATTCAGCTAAATGCAACAACTGCTTTTTCTTGCGTTGACAGCAAGTTTGGTCTTGAAACTCCAAGACCTCTGTATTCTTTTATTTGAGGTTGTTTATAGCAGAGTAACCAATACATTGGAGGGCAATGTTTTTTCCTACCTAAGTTTCTTCTTGTCTAAATTCTTTTATTTTTGCATCGAAAATGTCATTCTTGGTACTTTTCCACTTTTGGGAAAGAAAGAAAAAAAAAAGCCTGACATACTGCATAACTAATAAGGACCACCTGTTTCTTGAGCTCTTGGACTCAAAGAGCTAAACTTCTTGCCAAGACTTTAGTCTCAGGATTTTGGGGACATCAAAATGTCCAATCACAAAGTGTCAGATTATTATTTTCTCGTGTTATAAATTAATGTCTTTAAAAAACACTTTTTTGTGCTAAGAATTACTGAGTTAACCAAGTTAATATATTCTTTATCTACCAATTCATTTTTCTAGAGCTGCTTAGCCAGCACAATCATAGAGACCTAACCTGAGCTGATCCGAGTCCTCATCTAAATCATGATGCTTTTGGTCCTGTTCTCTCTCAGTTTTCTACAAAGTCCTTAAAAACTAGCACCATTATAACCCATCACACAACATTTTGGGGATGTTTTTAATAAACAGATAAGGGGAAAGAAAAACAGGAAAACATCAATAAGATTATCTGGTTATCTAATCAGAATAATTTGCACCATGAAGAAACACCTTTTTATGATGATACAAGTCAATGGAACAAACAAGCAGATGAGGCGCCTAGAACCAGAATGCTTGCTTGTTAGGAAGAGTGAGAATACTTCACTAGAATGTGAGGTTCTGGTGCAAAACTTTAAGGGCACTGGCAGATGGGGGGGGGGGGGGGGGGAGGAG